GGTGGGTACAAGGAGCTGGCCAAGGTTTGGAGTGAATACAACCCTTTATTTGAGCCAAAACCTCTTGTTCTGGTGCTAACACAGGTTTGGGGTGAATAAAATCCTTTATTTGAGCCAAAACCACTTGTTCTGGTGGCTGTAAGGGGCTGACCCAGGTTTGGAGCAAATAAAATCCTTCATTTGAGCCCAAACCACTCGCCCTGGTGGGTGCAAGGAGCCAGCACGGGTTCAGGGCCCTGTCCAGCCCTCAGACCTCTCTGGCTGCCCTGGGATGGATCCGGCTCTTCCCAGCAGGGAGCTGGGCTCGTTAAGTGCCATCCATAATTAATCAGCGCTGCAAATTGCAGGCCTGGTGTCTCCCAGAGCGATGCGATGGCTAGATCAGATCCTGCCTTATCGGGGAGGGCGCACCTGAGGATGCAAAGCAGGAGGTGATTTATCCCGGGGGGGAGCCACCTGCTCCCAGCACCTCTGGAACTGCCTCCCATCCCGGAAAAAACGAGTCAGCTCTGCCCTGGCCCCTTCCTAATCTCGGTGGGGAGGAAGCAAACCTGTTCTGGGCCGAGATGCTGCGGGTGTCGCGGCGTTGATGCAACACCGAAAATCCACCCGTCCCAGCTCCAGCCCAACCCCAGGCACCGGGGGCAAAGAAAATCCTTAGTTTGAGCCAAAACCACTCGTTCTGGTGGCTGTAAGGGGCTGACCCAGGTTTGGAGCAAATAAAATCCTTTATTTGAGCCCAAATCACTCATTCTGGTGGGTACAAGGAGCTGGCCAAGGTTTGGAGTGAATACAACCCTTTATTTGAGCCAAAACCTCTTGTTCTGGTGCTAACACAGGTTTGGGGTGAATAAAATCCTTTATTTGCGCCTAAACCATTTGTTCTGGTGTCTGTAAGGGGCTGACCCAGGTTTGGAGCAAATAAAATCCTTCATTTGAGCCCAAACCACTCGCTCTGGTGGGTGCAAGGAGCCAGCACGGGTTCAGGGCCCTGTCCAGCCCTCAGACCTCTCTGGCTGCCCTGGGATGGATCCGGCTCTTCCCAGCAGGGAGCTGGGCTCGTTAAGTGCCATCCATAATTAATCAGCGCTGCAAATTGCAGGCCTGGTGTCTCCCAGAGCGATGCGATGGCGAGATCAGATCCTGCCTTATCGGGGAGGGCGCACCTGAGGATGCAAAGCAGGAGGTGATTTATCCCGGGGGGGAGCCACCTGCTCCCAGCACCTCTGGAACTCCCTCCCATCCCGGAAAAAACGAGTCAGCTCTGCCCTGGCCCCTTCCTAATCTCGGTGGGGAGGAAGCAAACCTGTTCTGGGCCGAGATGCTGCGGGTGTCGCGGCGTTGATGCAACACCCCGGGAGGGTGGGAATCCCTCCCGGGGCCTGCAGGCAAACAGCTCACGCCTGAATCACGGCCTTTCATCGCCCTGCTCCCCTGGCAGATGTCACAACCACATCCAGGCCCTGATTTTTACAAGGCATCCAGGGCGTGTGCAGGCGCCCCGAGCAGCCGGCGAGCAGCGCAGCCCGGCCCAGCCTTGGGGAGCCCGGGGAGGTTGGGGTTCCCCTGCTGCAGCTGCCCCCAAAATGAAAGGTTGGGAGGTGTTTGGTGTCTCCAGCACCACGGGAGCCTGTCCAGAAGGGTCTTTTGTTGTTTTGATATTTCTTGAATACATTTTTTCACAAGGATTCTTTTCCTGGGAAGCTGAGAAGCCTCAGCTCCTCCTGGGTTTTGCTGCTTTCGTTTTGATATTTTTTTGAATAATTTTTTTCAGGAGGATTTCTTTTCTTGGGAAGATGAGAAGCCTCAGCTCCTCCTGGGTTTTGCTGCTTTGGAATATAAAGATTGTTTATCCAACGTGTGAGTTGTTTTAGCTTAATAGCCAGCCACAGCCAGATGTGTCAGTGTCCTGGTTCAGGGCAAATTCGGGAGATAAAAGCAGCATGCAGTCAACCCAGGAGAGTCAGACTCTAAAAAATCAATCACAAGTTTCCTTTATCATTCTTCTTAAACCTCCTGTCTGTATCCTTTTCCTATATTCTTTAGTCTAGTTTTAGTGTAGCATTCTTCAATTAATTACAGGTTATTCTAGAAGAAAATAATCATAAAATAACAAATTAACCTCCTAAAAACATGGAGGCAGGTTCCTCATGTTCCTCCTTCATCCTAAAAGACCAAAAAGGATGGGCATCATGCTCCTCACCGAGGGGCTGGACTGAGCCCTTCCTGTCACCTCCAGAACATTCCAGAGACTCATCCAGGGCTGCCTCACGCCTCAGGAATTGTCCTCAGTGTCACAGCAGTGTCACAGGAGTCCCCACATTCCCATCCGGGCACAGGGCAGAGCAGGGGAGCCCCAGCTCCCCTTTCCCCCCCGACCTGACACATTTCCTGCCTCCAATTAAAGCCACACCTTTCTGCTTCATTCCCAGCCCCGCGTTCCCACCGAGGGAACAATAAATAGTCATTCCCGTTGTGAAATGCAGCCCGAGAGCAGACAGAGGCTGCCTGTGGCCGAGCCGCGGTGCCACCAGCCCGGCAGGACCTGTCCCCTGCCCAGCCCCGCTCTTATCACTCCTCTCTCCCTCTTCTCTCCCTCTCCTGGTGCTGCTGAGCTGCCCACGCCCTCTCCCTTTTTAGATTCTCCTTTTGGGGTCCCCACAGCCTCCCCCAGGACGTGCAGCTGGCTGGGAAGGTCCTGGAAGGGCAAAGGAAAAGTGGGAAACCCGGGCGCTGCTCCGGCCCTTTCCTCACTTCCCGCCAGCTGCAGCTCGCTGGCATTTTACCCCGTCCCAGTTTGCTGGAATTGCACCCAAATCCCACCTTTTGCCAGCCCAGATGGGATCCTGATCCTGGCCTCGCAGCCCCTGGGGCTTTCCAGGCCCAGGATTTTGGGGGTTCACAGGATTTTGGGGTTTCCGAGGATTTTGGGTTTCCGAGGATTTGGGGGTTTTTCAGGATTTTGGGGGTTTCCCAGGATTTTGGGTGTTTCCCAGGATTTTGGGGTTTCCAAGGATTTTGAGATTTCCCAGGATTTTGGGGTTTCCCAGGATTTGGGTGTTTCCCAGGATTTTGGGGTTTCACAGGATTTTGGGTTTCCGAGGATTTGGGGGTTTTTCAGGATTTTGGGGGTTTTTCAGGATTTTGGGGGTTTCCCAGGATTTTGGGGGTTTCCCCCCCAATCAGTCCGGGTCAGTATTTTTCGGTGTTTTTTGGGTTTTTTTCCGGTGTTTTCCTTTATTAATTTATACAAAAAAGGTCGCGAGCGGCCCCGGCTGCCCCCAGCCCGGCCCCGGGGGTGGGGAGCACCGGGGGGGCGGCACATCCCGGGACAACCCCCCAAAATCCGGGCGGGGACACGGCAGGGAGAGCTCCCAGGCCACGCGCACCCACCCCGGGGTGCCCCTGGAGGTGCCATGGGGGTGACAGGGACGAGCCCCCCCAAACCCAGGGGGGTTTGGAGCCGAGCCCCCCTCGCTGCGGGGCGGGGGGAGCCGCAGTGGAGGGGTGGGGGGCGAGCCCGGGGGTGGGGGCGCACGGCGAGAGGCGGCTCCGCTGCCAGGACCCCCCGCCCGTGCCCCCCGCTCCGGGGCAGAGCTGGGGAGGGAAGGCGAGCCCAGGAGGGCAGGGATGCAGCCGGGGAGGGGGATCCTCCGGCAGCAGCGCAGAATTTTCGGGTTTTTTTCCCAGTTTTTTTTTTCCCAGGAGCATCCCAGCGGCTTCTGGCGCTTCCAGGAGCAGAGCCGGAGGCCTCGGGCGCCTTCCCGTCCCCCACCACCCTTCTACTTCCTCCGGCAGCCCTTGGCCGCGTCCCCCATCATGTCCCAGTACTCCCCGAACTCCAGCTTGGCCTCGTTAGGGTCTCCCATGCATTCGATCTTCTCTTCCAGGGGTCCCACGCACTGCAGGGAAAAAAACATCGGCGTGACGGCCACCAGCAGGATTTTGGGGTTTCCCAGGATTTGGGGGTTTCCCAGGATTTTGGGGGTTTTCCAAGATTTTGGGTTTTCCCAGGATTTGGGGGTTTCCCAGGATTTGGGGGTTTTCCAGGATTTTGGGGTCTCCCCTGAGCTCCCTCCAGCTGCCTCCCCAAAGCACGGGCACGGCTCTGCCCGTGGGGTCCCCACAATGGGACCACCCCAGCACCTGGGAATGGGGGGTGCGGGGAGCCCTGGGGTGTCCACAGGGGTCACACACACCTGCAGCATCCCCTGCACCCCCAGAGCACCCCCTGAACCTCTGCAGCATCCCCTGCACCCCCTGAACCCCCAGAGCACCCCCTGCACCCCCCAGAGCCTTCCCTGAACCCCCAGAGCATCCTCTGCGCCCCCAGACCATCCCCTGCAGCATTCCCTGGACCCCAGAGCCTTCTGTGAACCCCCCCAGCATCCCCGGCACCCCCTGCACCTCCTGCACCCCCACAGCATCCCCTGAACCCCCAGAGCACCCCCTTCTGGCGCTTCCAGGAGCAGAGCCGGAGGCCTCGGGCGCCTTCCCGTCCCCCACCACCCTTCTACTTCCTCCGGCAGCCCTTGGCCGCGTCCCCCATCATGTCCCAGTACTCCCCGAACTCCAGCTTGGCCTCGTTAGGGTCTCCCATGCATTCGATCTTCTCTTCCAGGGGTCCCACGCACTGCAGGGAAAAAAACATCGGCGTGACGGCCACCAGCAGGCAGAGACCCCCCAGCCCCTCCCCAGCTCCTCCTGCCCGCCGCCGGCTCTGCCCTCACCTTGCCCAGGTGCGGCAGCTTCTGCACCACCAGCTCCTGCATCTCGTTGGGGGTCAGGTACTCCTTCTGGCCCTTCACGGCGTAGCAGTGGAACTGGCTGATCACCGTCTCGATGGCCCGCTCCACGTCCGTCAGCTCCTGGCAGTCCTGCGGGGGGGACAGGGCGTGAGGCGGGGGGTTCCTTTATTAATTTATACAAAAAAGGTCGCGAGCGGCCCCGGCTGCCCCCAGCCCGGCCCCGGGGGTGGGGAGCACCGGGGGGGCGGCACATCCCGGGACAACCCCCCAAAATCCGGGCGGGGACACGGCAGGGAGAGCTCCCAGGCCACGCGCACCCACCCCGGGGTGCCCCTGGAGGTGCCATGGGGGTGACAGGGACGAGCCCCCCCAAACCCAGGGGGGTTTGGAGCCGAGCCCCCCTCGCTGCGGGGCGGGGGGAGCCGCAGTGGAGGGGTGGGGGGCGAGCCCGGGGGTGGGGGCGCACGGCGAGAGGCGGCTCCGCTGCCAGGACCCCCCGCCCGTGCCCCCCGCTCCGGGGCAGAGCTGGGGAGGGAAGGCGAGCCCAGGAGGGCAGGGATGCAGCCGGGGAGGGGGATCCTCCGGCAGCAGCGCAGAATTTTCGGGTTTTTTTCCCAGTTTTTTTTTTCCCAGGAGCATCCCAGCGGCTTCTGGCGCTTCCAGGAGCAGAGCCGGAGGCCTCGGGCGCCTTCCCGTCCCCCACCACCCTTCTACTTCCTCCGGCAGCCCTTGGCCGCGTCCCCCATCATGTCCCAGTACTCCCCGAACTCCAGCTTGGCCTCGTTAGGGTCTCCCATGCATTCGATCTTCTCTTCCAGGGGTCCCACGCACTGCAGGGAAAAAAACATCGGGGTCACGGCCACCAGCAGGCAGAGACCCCCCAGCCCCTCCCCAGCTCCTCCTGCCCGCCGCCGGCTCTGCCCTCACCTTGCCCAGGTGCGGCAGCTTCTGCACCACCAGCTCCTGCATCTCGTTGGGGGTCAGGTACTCCTTCTGGCCCTTCACGGCGTAGCAGTGGAACTGGCTGATCACCGTCTCGATGGCCCGCTCCACGTCCGTCAGCTCCTGGCAGTCCTGCGGGGGGGACAGGGCGTGAGGGGGGGGGACAGCTCCGTGCAGGGGGGGGACAGGTCCCCAGAGGGGGGGGACAGGTCCCTGGAAGGGTGGGACAGGTTCCCAGAGGGGTGGGACAGGTCACCAGAGGGGTGGGACAGGTCCCTGGAAGGGTGGGACAGGTCACCGGAGGGGTGGGACAGATCCCCAGAGGGGTGGGACAGGTCCCAGAGGGGTGGGACAGCTCCTCGGAGGAGGGGGACAGCTCCTCGGAGGGGTGTGACAGGTCCCGCGGAGGGGTGGGACATCCCGCGGAGGGGACAGGACAAGCCCCGAGCGGGTGGGGCGAACATTTCATCCCTGCACAGCCATGGGGTAAACCTCCTTGCCAGCGCCTGGCCCCTCTGCGCGGATGTGAGGCGCCCTCCCGTCCAGCTGTGGCACCTCCCCATCCAGCTGTGAGCCTCCCCCATCCAGCTGTGAGCCCGCTCATACAGCTGTCAGCCTCATCCATCTGTGAGCCCCATCCAGCTGTGAGCCCGCTCATACAGCTGTGAGCCCCATCCAGCTGTGAGCCCCCATCCAGCTGTGAGCCCCATCCAGCTGTCAGCCTCATCCAGCTGTGAGCCCCCACTGCCTTCAGCCCCCACACGGATCCCGGACCGCTCCATACAGATGTTCCTCCCCCGCATCCAGCTGTGACGGCTCTGCCAGCCCCTCCAGCTGCCATCGCCTGTCCCCCCCGAGCTGTCCCCCCCCAGCCGCGCTGTCCCCGCCAGGCTCAGCCACCCCGGCGTCTCTCGCCACCCCCGGCGCGGGCCCGTCCCGACTGGTTCTTCCTCTCTCTCCTCCGCACAAGCGGCGGTGGCAGCGTGAGTCAGTGCCCGCCGGCCCGGGGCTCCGGGGAGCCCCTCTGCCACCCCGCAGACCCCAGCCCCGGCTGGGTGAGGGGCGCAGAACAGCGCGACCCCCGCTCCCGGTCACTCCCGGTCACTCCCGGTCACTCCCGGTCGCTCCCGGCCGCTCGTGCGGCTCCGTTCGAGGGCAGCGGCGGTGCTTCACCCAAATCTGCGGCTTCCCCTCGGAACGCCGTGAAACCACAGCCGCCGATGCCCACTGGGCACCCCGCACAGCCTCAGCCCGGCGCCCCAAAATCCCGCACAGGCGCCGGGGGCTGCGGGGTGGGCACGTCCCGCTGGGCAGCCGAGGAGCAGCGGAGCTTCGCTGCCGTGGGGCATCCCCGGAGAGGCTGCGAGGAGCGCGGCCGGCTCCCGAAGGTCTGAGCTGCCCGCTCCCCCGAGCTCTGCCAAGCCCCGGAGCAGCCCCCGGCTCCGGGCTGCGGGGCCGGGGCCGTGCGGGGTCACCCCCGCCCCGCCGGTGCCGCGGGGTCCCCGCCGGACCTTGCGCTTCTTGCGGCAGTTGCACTGGCCCATCCTGCTGCTGGCGGCTCCGCGGGGGTCTCTCCGGGGGTCTCTGCTGTGCCGCGGGGTCCTGGGGAGCTGGCGGGGGAAGGAAGCCAAGCTCAGCTCTGGGCTCGGGGGGAGCTTCCCCTCCTCGGGCGCCAGGACTCCTCCCCCGGTCACTCCCGGTCACTCCCGGTCACTCCCGGTCACTCCCGGTCACTCCCGGTCGCTCCCGGCCGCTCGTGCGGCTCCGTTCGAGGGCAGCGGCGGTGATTCACCCAAATCTGCGGCTTCCCCTCGGAACGCCGTGAAACCACAGCCGCCGATGCCCACTGGGCACCCCGCACAGCCTCAGCCCGGCGCCCCAAAATCCCGCACAGGCGCCGGGGGCTGCGGGGTGGGCACGTCCCGCTGGGCAGCCGAGGAGCAGCGGAGCTTCGCTGCCGTGGGGCGTCCCCGGAGAGGCTGCGAGGAGCGCGGCCGGCTCCCGAAGGTCTGAGCTGCCCGCTCCCCCGAGCTCTGCCAAGCCCCGGAGCAGCCCCCGGCTCCGGGCTGCGGGGCCGGGGCCGTGCGGGGTCACCCCCGCCCCGCCGGTGCCGCGGGGTCCCCGCCGGACCTTGCGCTTCTTGCGGCAGTTGCACTGGCCCATCCTGCTGCTGGCGGCTCCGCGGGGGTCTCTCCGGGGGTCTCTGCTGTGCCGCGGGGTCCTGGGGAGCTGGCGGGGGAAGGAAGCCAAGCTCAGCTCTGGGCTCGGGGGGAGCTTCCCCTCCTCGGGCGCCAGGACTCCTCCTCATCCCCGAGCGGAGGGCGAGGAAGGAGCCCCGGGATGCGGCGCTGGAGCTGCCGGGACACGTCCCCGGCGTCCTCGCAAGTCGTGGCAGAGCCGAGCGTGGGAGCAGAGGGCGCAGCCCCCCCGGCCCCGCCGTGGGGCGGCCGGGCCACTTACCTGCAGCACGGGCTGTCCCAGGTGTGCGCGGGCTGCGGCGGGCCGGGGTTTTATACCGGGGAGGTGTGAGTGGGAGCTCCGTGGTGCAAGGCGTCTCATTTGGGAGCCTGGCCCGGCGCCAGCGTGGGGCCGGGAAACGCCTCCTTCCCGGCCGCACCGACGGTTCCCGTCCCGGCTCGGCCGCGTGGGAACGGCACCGGGCCCGGAGCGGGATTTCACCGGCCCGGAGCACCGGGATTCCGGGTCCGAACGCTGATGTTCCCCCGCCGGGATGTGCTGCTGGATGTGTCCCCCCCGTGCCACCCAAGACCCTCAGAGGATGGGCACGGTTGCCATGGAGCTGGCGGCCAGGGTGGCATCGCTGCCGGGATCTGCCGAGCCCCACCCCGGCCACAGCCACAGCTCTGCCCCCCACGCCCCCCCAGCGCGGCAGGAAGGTGTTTGTGGGGCGCAGGGTGGCACCCCAAAAGCCAGACCAGCAGCAGGGCAATTTGGGAATGGCCCCGGCGCCACAGAGTGACCCCAAAGCCATCAGCCCGGGGCTGGGCCTGTCCCCAGCGTGGGAGGAGATGGGGGATCAAATCAGAGCCCTCCAGCAAGAACAGCAGGATGCTCAGGCTCAGGGAAACCTCTTTATTTGAGTCTCCATCACTTCTTGGCCGCTTTGTCCCTGCGCACGGCCTTGGCCAGCTCCCCGATCAGCCGCCAGTACTCGCCAAACCTCAGCTCCTCGTCGTTGTTCACGTCCAGCTCGCTCATCTTCTCCTCCAGGGAGGGCACATCCTGCGGGGAGCACACGGGAGGGTGCCCAGAGACCGGCGTGGGCATCAAGCTGCCAACGCCAGGGCACCGGGAGGGGCCCCGCGGTTCGGGGGGACCCCCGGGGACCCCGCGGCGCTGCCGCTGCCCCCCTCACCTTCATCAGGTTGGGCAGCTGGAGCTTCACCAGCTCCTTGAACTCCCCGGCCGTCAGCGTGCCCTTCTTGCCCTCCTTGGCGGCGAAGGTGATGAACACGGTGACGATGCGCTCGATGGCCGCCTCCAGCTCCGTCAGCTCGGCGGGCTCGGCGGGCTCGGTGGGCTCGGTGGGCTCGGCCGTGGCCATGGCACCGGGCACGCCGCTAGCCCGGGGCTGCAGGCACAGGAGCCCAGAGGGGGTCGGAGCGTCCCTCGCCCCCTCCCCAGCCCAGCTCAGCCCCGCAGCGCTCAGGAGGGTCCCGGGGTTTGTGCAGGAGGGGCCGCGGGTCCCGGGGGTGACGGAGCGGGGACAGGGGGGACATCAGGAGCTGCGGGGAGCGACGCCCCACTTACCGCAGGCTGCGGGCAGGTCGCGGTCCCCGGGAGGTTTCGAGGGGTTCGGGAGCTTTGGGGACTTTTCAGGTGTTTTTATACCCGCGCCGCAGGAGGGGACAGCGCAGCCTTTGTCCGCCCCGCGCCGGTGTTGGGTTTCCTGATGCGGCCGGACGGACGCGCAGTCACCGCCCGGGCGCCGCCGTCCGTCGGTCCGTCCGTCCCTCCGCTCCCTCCCCGCCTGGGCACCGGACCAAACTCGGCCTGAACTCGCCGCGGCCTCGGCGGCGCCGCCCGGGGACCTCCGGTGGGGACAGGACGGGACCGCGGGGCTGGAGCATCACCGGGGCCGTGCACAGAAACATCCCCGGGGCCGGGATCGTTTTGGTTGGAAAAGATCTCCGAGAGGATTGAATGCAAACTTTGAGCTCCATTCCGGGGGTGCAGGGCAGGTGCCACCCCCAGCTGGGGACACTGAGGTGACCCCAGGGCCCCGGTGACATTCCGGTGACATCCCTGTCACATCCCTGGCTCGGGCAGTGTCACCGACCCAGGGCCCGGCTGGGCCCGCACCGAGTGAGAGTTGTGACTCAGCCGCCCGCTGACATCATCCCTATTAATAGTGGGCTCTGTAAAAATTAATTAATCCAAATTAATTAGGGGGTTGGAACGGCCCTTTTAATCAGTGGGTATTTATAACATGGCAGCCCTGGCACCTGTCCACCGGGCAGAACGAGTTCCTGTGGGCACCCCAAATCCCCCGGGGACCCCGAGGGGACCCTGGCCACAGCCTCAGGACTGTCCCCAGTGTCCCCACGGGTGTGACAAACAGCGAGCAACACGCGGGAATTTGGGGTCCCAAAGCCCCAGCGGTGTTTTGGGGGCCGAGGGCAGGGGGGTCCCCGCTACAACGTCCCCATCACGGTTTGTGCTGAGCCCTGACACGCTGGCGGGGACAGGGAGGCTCCCACGGTGGCCCTGTCCCCACCCCAGAACCGTCACACCAGCTCACGGGGCAGGAATTGGCTTCCTGCAGCCCCATCCGGCCCCGGGATGACGGAGGGGACGGGGCTGGGACGGTCACCGAGCCCCACGTCAGGGCACCGGGGTGGCCTCTTGGGAAAGCGGCGGGTGAGTCAGGCCCGGCAGGGACCGGGACAGGTTTGGGGTGAATCACCGGCCCCGGAGCCAGGCGGGCCCGTGACTGCCCGGCCCTGGAATTCGGGGTGAGGAAGGGGCACATGCGGCAGCGGCCCCACAGCGGGAGGGGAAGGGACAGCCAGGTCTGGGATCCCCGTTGGGACCGTCCCCATGGGAAGGGGGTGCTGACCTGGCCTTGGGGACACCGGCACGGCCAGGAGGGGACCGTGGAGGGACTGGGGCCATGGAGGGACTGGGGCCATGGAGGGACTGGGACCATGGAGGGAGTGGGATGGGGGCCATATAGGGACAGGGACTGGGGCCATGGAGGGACTGGGACCATGGAGGGACTTGGGCCATATAGGGACATGGACGGGGGTCATATAGGGACAGGGACTGTATAGGGTCTTGGGCCATTTAGGGACAGGGCCATAGAAACTTGGGCCATTTAGGGACAGGGACCATATAGGGACTTGGGCCATATAAGGACATGGACGGGGGTCATATAGGGACAGGGACCGTGTAGGGACTTGGGCCATGTAGGGACAGAGACAGGGCCATATAGGGACTTGAGCCATATAGGGATGGGACCATAGAGACTTGGGCCATTTAGGGACAGGGACCATATAGGGATTTGGCCCATACAGGACCACAGGACCCGGTGTGACAGGGTGACCGCGTGCAGGGGGTCAGTGCCCACTTCCACATCCTCATCCCGGGGTTCTCCACAACCTGTCTGGGTTGGGGACCCCAACTAGGGATGGCCACCGCGGTGCCCAGCCCGGCAGTGGCCCCTGCTGGCCCCATCGGGGCTCGCTGGAGGGGACCGTGAGTGCCCAAAGCCACCGCGGTGTCCCCAGCCCCGCCACTGCAGCTCCTCCCTTTCCAAACCCCGGGGATGGAAAAGCCTCTTCCAGAGCCCCGGTGATGGGATGGGGAGACAAGATCGGCCCAGCCCGGCACGGGGAACTGGAGCAACTGGTTTAGCTGGGTCAAAGTGGAGCAGGGGAGTCGCAGTGGCTGGAACCTGTTCCAAGCTGTGTGTAAAGCTCCTGGCATGTCCCTCGCTGCTCCCGCTTCGGGAAGAGCTCCTGGGAATCTGCCAGCCCTGCTGGGCGTGCTCTGCCCCGGCTGCAGGGTCTGGGACCCTCCCGGGACCCCCCAGTGTTGGGCTTCACCCTGGGGCACCCCGGTCCTGCTGTCCCTGAGGGTTTGGGGGGCTGGGAGTGCCTGGCCCTGTCCCCTCTGTCCCTGCCTGGCAGGGAGTGGGCTCGGGGTTATTTTTGGGCAATGCCCGTCCCTGTCACGAGCAGCTGCTGGCCCGGTGGCGTTTCCGGGCTCTCCCGGAATCCTGCCCGCTGTGAGCTGCTCGGGGACAGGGACACGGCCAGTGAGTGCCACGGGGCCCCTCCCGGAGCCCCCAGGCTCGGGATCCCGGGATTTTCCTCCTCCTGGAGCCCCCAGGCTCGGGATCCCAGGATTTGTCCCCTCCCGGAGCCCCCAGGCTCGGGATCCCGGGATTTTCCTCCTCCTGGTGCCCCCCAGGCTCGGGATCCCGGGATTTGCCCCCTCCCGGAGCCCCCAGGCTCTGGATCTTGGGATTTGCCCCCTCCCAGAGCCCCCAGGCTCGGGATCCCGGGATTTGCCCCCTCCCGGAGCCCCCAGGCTCGGGATTTGCCCTTCCCGGAGCCCCCAGGCTCGGGATCTCAGGATTTGCCCCCTCCCGGTGCCCCCAGGCTCAGGATCCCGGGATCCAGAGCCCCCCTCCCTGCCCCACATCAGGATCGGGGCCGTGTCTCCGGGGACCCCCACATCCATCCAGGACCCCCCGGTTTCCCCATTCCCAGCGCAGTGGGGAGGGGGCTCGGCCCCACAGGAGCACCGGGTTTGGGGTCCCCGGGCAGGGGGCAGGAAGGGCGGGAGGCGGGAGCAGAGGCTGCAGGAGGTAATTAGCCCCTAATTAGGGCTGGAAGCCGGCACGAGGAGCCGGCAGCACCCGGTGCTTGGGAAAATGCTGCTCCTGGTGGAGGGGGTCCCAAATCCTGGGAGGGGGGAGTTCCAGAGAGGGGGGCTGAGGAATTTGGGGGATCAGGAATTTGAGGGCTGAGGAATTTGGGGGATGAAGAATTTGAGGGATGAAGAACTTGGGGACTGAGGAATTCAGGGGCTGAGGAATCCGGGGGATCAGGAATTTGGGAGATCAGGAATTTGGGGGATTAGGAATTTGGGGGCTGAGGAACTTGGGGGATGAGGAATTTGGGGGATTAGGATTTTGGGGAATCAGGAATTTGCGGGCTGAGGAATTCAGGGGATCAGGAATTCGGGGGCTGGGGAATTCGGGGGCTGAAGCATTTGGGGGATCAGGAATTCGGGGGATCAGGGATCCGGGGGCTGAGGAATTCGGGGGCTGAGGAATTCGGGGGCTGAGCTCCCCGGGGATGCCGGAGCCGGGCAGGCTGCGGGCTCCAGCCCGCGCGGACCGGGGCCGTAACGGGATCCTCGGGATTATCAGCATCCCCGGGGCCAGCTCGGGCTCCGGTTTCTTGGCCGAGGCGTTGCTGCAGCAACGCGGGGCTCGGCATTGTGGGGCCTTTTCAGGCGGACAAGAGCCCTTTGAGAGCGCGGGGAGTCACCCGATACCCCCGCGGCTCCCCCCGGGCCCCGCTGGCTCCCGCGGCCGGGCCGAGGACACCGGATCCCGTTATCAGCGCCGGGAGCGGGGCTGGCCGCGGGCGCGGCCCCGGGGATGCGGCCCCGATGCCGGCGCTGACAGATGGGGGATGCCCGCGGTGCCACCGCGGGGTCACGGCGTGGCCAGCGCCGCCACCCGGGGGTCCCCGGGGGGTGTCCCCAGCCCGGCACGCCGCTGTCCCCCCCAGCCCTGCCAATGTCCCCGATTTTTTCGCATCTTGGGGGTGGCGAGGGGCACTAAAGGGACCCCCCTGAGGGGACGCTGTCAGCCCGGCCGTGCCCGGGGGCTCTGGGGGCGCTGCCCGCGGGCATCGCGGGGGCTGTGCCCCCCACGCCCGGCCCCCGCGGGGCTGGCCGGCGGTGCCAGCCGGGCTGCCCAGCCCCGGTATCGGATCCTCCCGGAGGGAGGGGGCTTGGAGCTTATTTAACGTGCCCAGCCCGGCCGGGCGGGCGCACTCGCAGCACCGGGAGCTCAGGCGAGCACAGGTGACTCTGTCCCCCCCCAAACCTCCCCTCGGGACCCCCTGGCCAGCCCCTGGGAGCCCCCCAGACCGCCCAGTCCTGCTCGGCAGGGTCACGGCCGGGGGTGGGTGATGCTGGGGACAGGGGGGCTGGAGGGTGACGTGCTGGGGGTCCCGCAGCCGCAGCCATGGGATCGCAGCTGGAAGGGGCCATGGAGACCCTGATCAATGTCTTCCACCACTACTCGGGCAAGGAGGGGGACAAGTACAAGCTGAGCAAGAAGGAGCTCAAGGAGCTGCTGCAGAGCGAGCTGGGATGTTTCCTGGAGGTAACTGGGACCAGTTTGGCGCCTGGGGGGTCTCCCTTTCCCCATTCCCGGGGGGGAACGGCGGCTGCCCAGCCCCAGGGCTCACCCTGTGCCCCCCCAGACCCAGAAGGACGCGGGGGCCGTGGAGAAGATCATGCAGGACCTGGATGAGAACGGCGACGGGGAGGTGGATTTCCAGGAATTCGTGGTCCTGGTGGCCGCCCTGACTGTGGCCTGCAACACCTTCTTCTGGGAGAACGCCTGACGCCCCTCCTGCCGCAGCAGGGCGCGGGTTCCCAAAGTCCAGAGCCCCCCCGGCACCCCCCAGCTCACCGCCTCCGCTCCCCGGCACTCCCAGGGGATCCTGCTGGGATCCAGCTGCACAATAAAGGCACCGACCCTGCCCCAGGGGGGTTGTCAGCTCCTTCGTTCCGCTCGGGATTCCTGCCCCTGCGAGGGCCCCCAGGGGATATCCCACTGAGGGGTGATGGGGAAAGGCCAGCCCGGGTCACCCCAAGGGCCTGGAGACAGCCCTGGATCCACCTGGGGATCCACACTGGGATCTACCCTGGGATCCACCCCAGGAATGACCCTGGGATCCACCCCAGGAACCACCCGGGGATCTACCCTGGGATCCACACTGGGATCTACCCTGGGATCCACCCCAGGAACCACCCGGGGATCTACACTGGGAACCACCCTGGGATCTACCCTGGGATCCACCCCAGGAACCACCCTGGCATCCATATGGGATCCATACTGGGATCCACCCCAGAGCCCACCCCAGGAACCACCCTGGTATCTATCCTGGGGTCCACCATGGGATCCACCCCAGGAACCACCCCGGGACCCACCCTGGGATCTACACCGGGATCCACCCCATTATCCACCCCGTTATCCACCCCGGGAACCACCCGGGGATCTACACTGGGAACCACCCTGGGATCTACACTGGGATCCACACTGGGATCCATATGGGATTCATACTGGGATCTACCCTGGTATCCACCCCAGGATCCACCCTGGGATCTACCCTGGGATGCATATGGGATCCACGCCAGGAATCACCCTGGGACCCACCCCAGGAACCACCCTGGGATCCATATGGGATCCATACCGGGATCCACCCCAGAGCCCACCCCAGGAACCACCCTGGTATCTATCCTGGGGTCCACCATGGGATCCACCCCAGGAACCACCCCGGGACCCACCCTGGGATCTACACCGGGATCCACCCCATTATCCACCCCGTTATCCACCCCGGGACCCACCCTGGGATCCACCCTTGATTCATCCTGGGATTCACCCCAGGATCCACTCCAGGATCCACCCCGTTATCCACCCCGGATCCACCCCGGGATCCACCCTTGGTTCTTCCTGGGATTCACCCCGTTATCCACCCCGGATCCACCCCGGGACCCACCCCGGGGCCCACCCATCCGCCCAGGGCACGGTGACCCCGGGAGCAGCGGGTGACAGGCCGGGACTCGCCGCACGTGGCTCCGGCGGCGCCGGCACCGCGCCCGCGGGGCCGGAGGAACCGGTTGGGATCCACCGGGAGGCCAAGGGCCCCAGCAGGGCCGCCAGCGCCATCGTCCGCCCGCCACGCCGGTGAGGATCGGGGTGGTGGGACACGGGAGGGGGCCGGGGGAGCTGGGCAGCGTTCCCAGGGACACGCGGGACACGGCAGAGCCAGGGCTGGACACCAACAGGTCCCTTCCAACAGCTCCGGGACCATTCCACTGATTCCGTAATTCCAGGGTTCCGTGAGGGTTCCACGGGAAGCGACAGAGGAGCGGGTGAAGCCGACACGGAACTCACAGCGCCACAGTTCCGTGGGATTCGGGGGTTCCAGCGTCCCGTGACTCCGTGATCCCACAAATCCGTGACCCCACGGCTCCTTGACCCCATGATTCCCTGGTCCCATGGTTCTGTGGTGATCCTGTGGCGGTTCCATGCTGGTTCCATGCCGGTTCCATGACAGTTCCATGCTGGTTCCATGATGGTTCCATGACAGTTCCATGCTGGTTCCGTGGCGGTTCCATGACGATTCCATGGCGATTCCATGACGGTTCCGTGACTGTTCCGTGACAGTTCCATGCTGGTTCCGTGGCGGTTCCATGACGATTCCATGGCAATTCCATGATGGTTCCGTGGCGGTTCCATGACGGTTCAATGATGGTTCCGTGCTGATTCCATGCCAGTTCCCTGACTGTTCCATTACAGTTCCGTGACAGTTTCATGACAGTTCCATGGCGGTTCCCTGACAGCTCCGTAACAGTTCTGTGATGGTTCCATGATGATTCCATGACGAGTCCATGACACTTCCATGGCTATTCCATGGCAGTTCCCTGACGGCTCCGTGACGGTTCCATGCCGGATCCATGACAATTCCATGGCAATCCCGCGCCGGTTCCATGACGACACTGCTCTCTATGACGTCACCAGGACTCCGCCCCGATTCCCGCCAGAACGCTCCCGCCTCCCTTTTGCCCCGCCCCTTTCCCCGCCCCCTCCGCGGCTGCACCAACCACCGCCCACCGAGGGGGGGAGCTCGCGCAGCAGGGGGCGTGGCCGAGAGCGCGGCCGCCATTTCGGCGGGGGCGGGAGCGGTGCCGGCGCCATTTTGTCGCGGGCGGCTGAGGGAGAAGCGGCGGCGGCGGCGGGAGCGGGCGGAGCTCAACGCCAGCCCCGGCCCCGCGCCGGCCCCACACCGGCCCCGCACTCACCCGCCCGCCCGCCGGAGCTCACCGGAGACCTGGCGACCGTGTGCTTCGGTGAGTGACCGGCCCGGCTGCGCGGGGGCGGGGCGCCGGGAGGGGCCCCTGAGGGCCCGGGGGTCCCCTCATGGCCCGGGGGTCCCCTCATGGCCCCGGGGGCCCCCTCAGGCCCGGGGCTTTTCCCCCTGTCCCTGCTCCGGAGCCGGGCCTGAGGGGGGCGGAGCTGGTTTTTTTTTTTTCCCCTCAGGATGAAAAACGCTTTAAGAACCACTTGAAATTGAAAAAGCTGCTCTATATTAAAATAAAATTATTTGAAATAATTTAAAGCAGGAATAAGGCTTTATGTTGTCTCTACTTTTGGGTGTAAATCCTGTCAATAAAGCGGTTTTTTGAGGGTGTTATAAAGTGAGCGCATCCCGGCCGTCATCCACCCGTTAAATTTGCTGCTAATTATAAATTAATTAATAAATCGATCTGCAGAGATCGGAGCTTGGAACTCAGCGTGTTTCTGTAGCATCCAGCACTGGGGGGGATTGAAATCCTTGCCCTGAGGGAGGTGGAACCTCCATGTTTTTAAAGGATATGATGCTTTTGTAGCATCATCTTGGATTTTTATTCCAAATTTTATTTCCTGGGCCCTTAAAATTGGGGTTTGCACCTTGGCCATGCTAAGAACATGGGAAATGTGGAGGTGTCACTTGCTAAAAGCGTTTGTGTGCTATTTACAGCTGGGTTTTTTTGTGTTATTACTCAAAAAACCGATAAGGTGTTCACTGTAAAAAGATAAATTTTTACTAAAGGTAAATTAAAATATTTTATTTAATAAAAAATATTTATTAAATCTGGTAGAGGGCGAGAAAACATTAAAAATACATAAATATACTTGCCTCACTTTTAGTTCTATCCACAGAGAACAGAGGTTGTTTAATACTTAATCTTGTAAATATGTAATAATTGTATTAATTTGATGTCTTGGGTTTTGGTTTGCATCTTTGCTCTGAAGATGGCATTTGGTTTCCATCTTGCTCCTGAATTTTTAAATTATTCCTCCTAATTTTGCTGAAGCATTCACTGTAAAAAGATAAATTTTTGGCAAGGGAGAAATAAAGGAACTCCCTGATTTATTAAAACTGGGAGAGGACTAAAAAACATTAAAAATCCCAGCATCAGAACTGAAAAATCCTGGCAGAGGGCTAAAAAATCACTGAGAAAAAAATGAATATATTGCACATAACCTGCCTTAATCTTGATTTCCTCCCCTTGGGGAGGCAGAGCAGAAGGGATTTTTAGTATTTAGTGGTACAAATGTGTAAGAAATGTCTAATTTTTCCCTTTTGGGGCCTGTTTTTTGCAGATTCTCTGAAGATGGCTGCACAGTCAGCACCGAAGGTCGTGCTAAAGAGCACCACCAAGATGTCTCTGAACGAGCGGTGAGGAAGCCAACAACGGCACCTTCAGCTCCTAAGAAATCATATATAATTTTTTTATTTTTTACTTAATTCTCACTATCCAAAAATCCAAAACCCACCGTGGTTTCCGCCCTCTTTTAACCTCGTCCGGCGAGCGGGCGCCCTCCACGCGCCCGCCTTACCCTCCGACCCCTGCGGCACGCAAGGTTAAAAGGGCCAAAAAAATCCCGGAGGGATTTCTCCGTGTCTTTTAGTGTTGATTCGCCTCGTAAATCCGGTGGGATGTGTTGTAAGAGCAGAGACCAACCTCACACCCTCCCTGTCTCTCCCACATGTTTTGACATTGGTATTTTGGCTCTGCTGCCGCGCCCGAGGGTCCCGCCTGCCCGGGTGGGCTCTGTAAGAGGCCGGCGGCGGCCTCGGAACCGGCCCGAAGGCCCTTCTGGGTCTTGTAAGAGGCAACAGCTTTGGCTTCACCTCCATCTCTCTCTGTCCTCGAGCTCTTCCCGTGGGTCATTCCGCTGGGTTTTTCCATGTGTGGCTCCTCTGTGGTGACTAACGGGTGTCCCGCTCTCCCGCTGAGCACTTTGGGGTTCAACACGCTGGGATGGGGCAGCTTCTGCACTGCAGGGAGGTGTGGCCCGAGCTCAGGGACACCTTGCTGGCTCCTTCCCTCCCTGGCAGCCCAAACTCCTCGTTTTGAGGGGGTGGATTTTGCTCACCAGCTCCCGGCGTGCTGCTCAGGAGCTTTATTTACCACCTCGCTGCGTGTTCGCTCTGCGATGGAGAAATTAAAACACCACGTAAATTCCCAAGTGGCCTCGTTTCAGGAGAGCAGCTGGGTGGCATTCAGGAGATGCTCTGGGTGGTGGAATTTTGTACAATCATGGAACTGCTAAGGTTGGAAAAGGCTTTAAGATGATCCCTTCCAACCTGGCGCCGGAGGACACCGAGCATGGCATCTTCCCAACCTACCTCCTGGCCTGGAATTTTGATGCTTTTCCCAGATTTTTTGGGGGTTGATTTGGCTTTTGCTGTCCTGTTTCTCGCCCACCCTGTCACGACCATCCCCGCTTCCTGCTGGTTGTCACCCCTTCTGCCATCTCTAAACCCACTAACCTCCGGCTTTCTCATTCCCACTGAAAACTTCCACCTCATTCCTGCCTCTCCGGGCCTCGCGGCCAGCGAGGGATCCGTAATCCCATAAGTGCCACTCTTTGCATAAGGTTCATGGGAGCTGGAGCCCCACTCGAGCACCGTGAAATGCCGATAATTGTGTGTTTTAAGCTTTAATTAAACCCCGTTTTATTCGACCTTGAAGCTTCACTAACATGCTGAAGAACAAACAGCCGATGCCGGTGAATATCCGGGCCACCATGCAGCAGCAGCAGCTGGCCAGCGCTCGAAACAGACGTCTGGCCCAGCAGATGGAGAACAGACCGTCTGTGCAGGCCGCTCTGAAGCTCAAACAGGTGAGGGGAAAGAGGATTTGGGCCTTGCAGGATGTGGAAAAAACAGCTCCGGAGAGAGAAAGAGGCCAGAGAAGGGAAGGGGATGGAGGGTGAGTGTGCTGGAGGAAAGGAGACTCGGGGGGGACCTTGTGGCTCTCCACATCTCCCTGACAGGAGGCTTGGGTTGGACACAGCAGGAGTTTTTTCCTGGGAAGGGTGGTCAGGCCTTGGCAGGGGCTGCCCAGGGAATTCTGGAGTTGCCATCCCTGGAGGTGTCCAGGGAAAGCCTGGATGTGGCACTCAGTGCCCTGAGCTGGGCACAAGGTGGAGATTGGACTCTGTGGTCTGGGAAGTCTTTTCCAACCTGGAGGCTTTGGGAATTGTGTAAAAAAGGTGTTGGAGAGTGTGCAGAGGAGGGACACGAGGATGGAGAAGGGTCTGGAAGGGCCACGTGAGGAGTGGCTGAGGGCACCTGGTGTGTCCAGCTGGAGCTGAGGAGACTCAGGGATCTGCAGCTCTGATCTCTGCTCCCTGGGACAGGGACAGGATCCAGGAATGCCTGGAGCTGTGCCAGGGGAGGTTCAGGAGGGATTTTAGGGAAAGGCCCAGGCTCCCCAGGGAATGGGCACGGCCCTGGTGCTGCCAGAGCTCCAGGAGCTGTTCCCAGGGATGTACAGGGTGAGATTTTGGGGTGTCTGTGCAGGGGCAGGAGTTGGCCTGGATGATCCTGATGGATCCCTCCCAGCTCAGAGCATTCCATGATCTTAAAAATGAGATACCTGGGAGGGACTGGCAGCAAATGCCACTTTGTACCTCAGCTCAGTGACACGCTGTCATTCCCTGGTTGTCGGTGGGGGTGTCGGGTGCTGGCTGTTGATGTCTCCTCTCTATTTTTCCAGAGAAAAGGCTCATCCCGGGGTCCGAGTGCTTCACCTCACAGTCCCCAAAATCCCACCCTCCCTCGGGAGCCGCTGCTGTGGTGCTTTTCCCCCGAGGAGCAGCGGGGCCAGCTCCCGTGCTGGCAGATTGGGAATGCAGGCCTGGACTCCAGGCACAACCCCAGCACTCGGAACACGTCCTGTTGTGTCCCCGCTGTGTCCCCAATCCCAGATTGCTGCATGACTCCTGTCCCCCCCAAATCTTCTCTTCCAGAAGAGCTTGAAGCAACGCCTCGGCAAGAGCAACATCCAGGCGCGGCTGGGCCGGCCGGCGGGGACGCTGGCCCGAGGAGCCCTGGGGGGCCGCGGGCTGGCCCTGGGCCAGCGGGGGCTGCCCCGGGGGGCCCTGCGGGGCCGCGGCGCCCGCGCCATGATCCGAGGAGGGGTGGCGCTCCGAGGTCAGTGCCCTGCCGTGCCCCCGTCCCCCTCGCGCGCCGTTCTCCGCGCTGAAATCCCGTTTTTGTGGTTTCCCCGCTGAAGGTCAAGGCCTGCTGCGCGGCGGGAGAGGGATTGCCCCCCGGATGGGCCTGCGGAGGGGCGGCATCAGGGGCCGCGGCGGCCCGGGAAGAGGCGGCCTGGGCCGGGGCGCCATGGGCCGGGGAGGGATCGGCGGCAGAGGTGAGTGACTGCAACAATCCAGCTGGGATCCTCCCGTCCTTAAACCCCAAGAATTCCAAGCCTGGAATTCAAACCGTTTATCCAAGAGCTGGTTGTTTTAAAACTGAAGCTCAGCAGGGTGGGAGGGGAAACCCAGGAGCCATATTGCTGGGAATTCTTCACGTGTGGAGATGTGAGGTTTAATTTTATGTTTCTCAGAAGACTGGTTTGTTATATATATTAAAATATTACATTAAAACTATACTAAAAGAGAGGAAAAGATTATCAGAAAGCTTGAAAAAACAAGAATAGAAAAACAAAATCTTGTGACTCTCAGAGTCTAATTTAGCCGCATCTGTGATTGGCTTTTAATTAAAAACAACCAACATGCACTTGTTGCATTCCACAGCAGCAGGTAGTTACTGCTTACATTCTTTTCTTGAGGCTCCTAGCTCCTCAAGAGGGAAAAATCCTAGCATAAAATATAAGAGTAACAGAAATTGGTGTTAGACTGGAGGAATCCTCAGGAAGTTCTAAAATTCTCCGCGTGATGAGAAGGAGCTGGGTCAGGAGGCGCCGGGACGCAGGCAGTGAGGGTTTGTGTGCCCCGCAGGGCGCGGCATGGCCGGGCGCGGCCGGGGCGGCTTCGGCGGGCGCGGCAGAGGCCGGGGCCGCGGCAGAGGCTCGGCGCGCCCCGCGCTCACCAAGGAGCAGCTGGACAACCAGCTGGACGCCTACATGTCCAAGACCAAGGGACACCTGGACGCCGAGCTGGACGCGTACATGGCACAGACGGATCCCGAGGCCACCGACTGAGGGGCCGGGACTGCCGGGGGGAGCTCGTTCCGTCGGGGGCCCCCGATGGGAAATTCCGACTTAGTGTGTTCTTCGATGTTTTGATACTCTCTGTTGTATTAAACTTTTTTTGGATTGTTCTTTTCCGCGGAGCTTTTTGGTGGTTTTTCCCTGAGGAAACGCGGATGGGATGGATCTGCTGTGGAGGATCTGCTGGTGGCAGCGCCAGGGGTGCGCCCCTGCCTGGGGGACCAGCTCTCTGTGTGCCTCTGGAGCTCTGGTTGGGTTTTGGGATGAGTTTGTTGGGTTTTGGGATTGGTCTGTTGAGTTTTCAGATGGTCTGTTGAGTTTTGGGATGGTTTGTTGGGTTGGGGATGGGTTTGTTGGGTTTTGGGATGGTTTGTTGGGTTTTGGGATGGTTTGTTGCGTTTCGGGATGGGTTTGTAGGGTTTTTGAATGGGTTTGTTGGGTTTTGGGATGGGTTTGTTGGGTTTTGGGATGGTTTGTTGAGTTTCGGGATGGTTTGTTGGGTTTTGGGATGAGTTTATTGGGTTTTGGGATGAGTTTGTTAGATCTTTGGGATCCCCTTGTACATTTTGGGATAGCCACATTCCCAGCTGGAGTTTAACCCCCCTGAAGCCAAATCCAGCCTTCCCAGCAGGAAGAGCCTGACTTTGGCTGTTGTTCTTTTCCCAAATCCTTTTTATTCTGCACCAAAAATCCCCGTGGGGTTGGGCCAGGTGGAAAACTTCCCTGTTTTAGTGGATTTTGGGAGGTTGAAGTTCTTTTGGTGTTTCTGTGTGGTTCAAGTGTTTGTTTAAAGAGATGAGAGGCAGGGACAGAAAATTCAGCCAGGACGGTGAAGTGGAAATGCCTCTGTTCCAGAACTGGCTCCAAAATCCACCATTTTTCCAAAAAAAAAAAGACGAATTTTGGAAACCCAGTGTGACTGAGGGGTCTGTGCTTTTATCACCCACCCCTCCCATGCAGCGTTCCGGGGGATAACCGGGAACGGGACCCGCGGCATTCCCGAGGAATAACCGGGAACGGGACCCGCAGCGTTCCCGGGGTATAACCGGGAACGGGACCCGCGGCATTCCCGAGGTATAACCGGGAACGGGACCCGCGGCGTTCCCGGTGGGAGCGGGGCCGGACCCGCGGCATTCCCGGTAGGAGCGGGGCCGGACCCGCGGCGCTCCCGGTGGGAGCCGGACCGGGATCAGGACCCGCGGTATTCCCGGGCTATAACCGGGGCCGGACCCGCGGTATTCCCGGGGTATAACCGGGAACGGGACCCGCGGTATTCCCGGTGGGAGCCGGACCGGCGCCGGACCCACGGCGCTCCCGGTGGAAGCAGGACCGGGATCAGGACCCGCGGTATTCCCGGGCTATAACCGGTGCCGGACCCGCGGTATTCCCGGTGGGAGCAGGACCGGGATCAGGACCCGCGGTATTCCCGGGCTATAACCGGGGCCGGACGCGCGGTATTCCCGGTGGGAGCGGGGCCCGGCGGCGCCGGGGGCGGGGCCCGTCTGGGGGCTCTCGCCGTGAAAGCGCGGCCGCGATTGGCTGGCGGGGCGAGGCCCGGCTGTCACGGGCGCTGCCATTGGCTGCGGCGCGGCGGCGCCTCACGCGCTCCGGCCGCTCCTTTTGTTATTGTAGGGACGGAGTTGGGAACGGGACCGGGGAGAGGGCCGGGAGGAGGAGGAGAGGGCTGGGAGGAGGAGGAGAGGACTCACAGAAGGCAGGGGAGGCTGAGGGAAAGGGCTGACAGAAGCAGGATGCGGCTGAGGGCAGGAGGAAGGGGCTGAGGGAAGGGCAGAGGACTGAGGGTGGGAGAAAAGGGCGGGAGGCTGAGGGGAGGGCAGGGGCTGAGGGGAAGGCAGGGATCTGAGGGCAGGGCAGGGGGCTGAGGGAAAGGGCTGAGGGTGGGAGAAAAGGGTAGAGGCTGAGGGGAAGGCAGGGGCTGAGGGCAGGGCAGGGGGCTCGGGGAAAGGCAGAGGCTGAGGGGGAAGGAAGGGGCTGAGGGGAAGGCAGGGCTGAGGGGAAGGGCTGAGTGAGGGCTCAGGACAGGTCGGGCTGAGGGAAAGGCAGGGGCTGAGGGAAAGGCGGGGGTCTCAGAGCAGGACAGGGGGCTCAGAGCAGGACAGGGGGCTCAGGACAGGACAGAGGGCTCAGAACAGGGCAGGGGGCTGCAGGCTCGGCAGCAGCACCCTGGACCGGAGGAGATGCGGCGGGAGCCGGGCCGCCAGTGACGCTGAGGGGAGGTGAGTGGAGCCCGAGCCATCCCCTGCGGGTCCCCGCTGTGCCCCCTCCTTGAAGCCTGTCACCCCTCAGAACCCCTGCGCCGTCCCTGTCGCCTTCCCGTGCCCCGTGGTGCCCCAGGGACATCCCTAGGACCAGCTTTGGGACTCGGGACAGGGATCAGCCGGGGGTTCTGGCAGGGAGATGTGGGGTGAGGGTCTGGCCCCACTGAGCCCAGCTTGCCCCAAACCTGAGCTCTGCACAGGGACAGGGTTGACTCCGACCCTTCCAGGCTTCCCTGGAGCTGCCTTGGGATGCTGGAGCTGGGGTGGGGAGCAGCACCCCAGATCCCTCTTCCACTGCCCCAAAACATGAGGCAGAGAACGGGCAGGGGCAGGGCTGAGACCCCCGGGATGAACCCGGCGGGGGGCTGAGGGTCGTACCCCCAGCACGGGGGGTCGCTGGGGTCCCTCAGCATCCCTGGAAGTGTCCCCATGCTTGGAGGAGCCGGGCACAGGGGGACACGCGGGGGTGCTGGCAGGACACGCAGGCTCCCTCGCGGTCCCAGATAAGGAGCAGGGAGCCGCGGTTTGTTGTGTCTGCCGCCATCCCAGGGATTTTCCAGGGCTCTGGAGCGCTGCATCCAGGCTCTGGCGTGAGCAGGGTCTGGCAGGGAGGCAGGAAAAGGAGAAGCCGGGGAGAGAGAGGGGTTAAGGAGCGGCGCCAGGCTGGGCTCTGTTTAGTCTGGCCTCGGCGGCGGCTGCCGGAGCCGGTCTGTCCCCGTGGCACCGGGCACGCCAGCCTGGGGACACCGCTGTCCCCGAGCCTGATGCCACCATGCAGCTCTGGCTCTGCCATTATGGGGAGCTGGGGACACCCCGAATGTGTCCTGCCACCTCACCCCTTCCCCAAGCTGGGCACAAACTCAGGTCGTGCCATCAGCCAGGGACCACAGCGCCCAGACTTTGGGTGACAGATGGCTTTGTCACCTGGAGAGTGCCACACGCGTCCCTCGGCTCGGTGTGCCCTGCAGCAGGGTGACACGCAGGGACACGCCGTGCCTTGCAGGGCCGCAGCGCCATGTCCCTGGGCAGCGACAGCGGCCCCGGCATCGTGCACAGCCTGCTGTGCCACCGGCAGGGAGGGGACAGCGAGGCCTTCGCCCGCCGCGCCATCCAGAGCCTGCTCAGGAAGCTGAAGGAGAAGAGGGACGAGCTGGACGCGCTGGTGGCCGCTGTCACCTCCGGCGGGGCGCAGCCCGGCCAGTGTGTCACCGTGCAGCGCACCCTGGACGGGCGGCTCCAGGTACCGCGGCATGGGGGGGCACAGGTAGACCCTCCCCAGTTTAGGGGGTGCCCCGTGAGCGCCCTCCGCGCGCTGGGCTGGATCCCCCTGCCCGCAGCCCCCTCCCCTCCGCGGCTTCCCCCGCGCCGCCCGGCCCGGTGAGTCAGTGTCTGGCAGCCTCGGGCCGGGGGGAGCGGGGGCGGCCGGGGTTTGTTGTGTCTGCAGCCGGGGATCCTGGTGTGGGGTCTTGGGGGGGATCCCCGTGTTTGGGCTTGGGGGGATTCCAGTGTTGTCACCATGGGGGGGATCCTGGTGTTGTCACCCTGGGGGGGATCCTGGTGTGGGGTCTTGGGGGGGATCCCCGTGTTTGGGCTTGGGGGGATTCCAGTGTTGTCACCATGGGGGGGATCCTGGTGTTGTCACCCTGGGGAGAACCCCGCTGTTGTCACCCTGGGGAGGGGACACAGCCCCTCATTCCCCCTTGTGTATGGAGATCCCGTTGTTGTCACCCTGGGGAGGATCCCACTGTTGTCACCCTGGGGAGGGGACACAGCCCCTCATTCCCCCTTGTGTCCCCCCCCCGGTGCAGGTGGCCGGCAGGAAGGGCTTCCCCCACGTCATCTACGCCCGGCTCTGGCGCTGGCCCGACCTGCACAAGAACGAGCTGAAACCCGTCAAATTCTGCCAGTTCGCCTTCGACCTCAAGTGCGACAGCGTCTGTGTCAACCCCTACCACTACGAGCGCGTGGGGACCCCCGGCAGCGGTGAGCCGGGACCCCCGGGCGGGGGGCTCGCCCGGGGGGGTCACCAGCACCCCTAATCCCCCTCCCCGCCTGTCCCTCAGGTCTGAGCATCCAGAGCGCAGGTGAGACCCCGGCCCGGGGCCGGCGGGGAGCCCCCCCGGAGCCAGCCCAGCCCCCCGCAGCTGGGGGGCATCCCCGTGCCCCCCATGGTCTCCCGCCCTCCCCAGTGCCCCGGGGGCATCACCCTGAGCCCCCCACCCCATATTCCCCCCACAGCGACCCCTCAGGACCCCCTGCTCCACCCCGAGGACCCCCTGGCACAGCCCCCCCCGCAGAACGGGTACCCCAAACCACCCCACCACGGTGAGTATGGGGGTCCCCCACTGCCCCCCACCCCCTTGGGGGGGACCCTCCTTATGTCTCCCTGTGTCCCCCTGCAGGTTCACCGCTGAGCTGGAGCAGTGCCACCATCTACACCCCGAGTCTGGGGGGGTCGCAGCCCCCCCCAGCACAGCACCCCGGCAGCCAGAGCCACCCGCAGCCCCCCCAGCACCACCCCAACCACTGCTGTAGGTTTGGGGGGCACTGGGCGAGGGCTGGGGGGCTCTTCAGTGTGCTGACCCCCTCTCTGCCCCTCGCAGGGCCCCCCGTGCTCCAGCCCCCCGTGTCCACCCACCCTGGTGAGTGCCCCCCACCCTCCTTAGCACCCACGGGTGCCGTGACCCCCCCTAAAATCCACGTGCCCCCCGTGCAGGGCCGGAGTTCTGGTGCTCCATCGCCTACTTCGAGCAGGACGTGCAGGTGGGGGAGATCTTCAAGGTGCCCTCGAGCTGCCCCACCGTGGTGGTGGACGGCTACGTGGACCCCTCGGGGGGGGCCCGCTTCTGCCTGGGGCAGCTCTCCAACGTGCAGCGCTGCGCCGCCAGCGAGAGGGCACGGTGGGTCGGGGGGCACGGGGGGCCAGGGGAGCGTGGTTGGGCACAGGGGGTCTGGGGGTGAGAGGGGCACGGGGGGCATTGGAGGGTTATGGGACACGGGGGGCACAGGGGGTCCGTGCTGAGGCTCTCGGGCAGGCTGCACATCACAAGGGCAAGGAGGGCTGGGCAGGTGATCGGGGGTCTGGGTGGTCTGGGGGGGTCGGGGGG